TCCCCATCTTTTTAATAATTGGTGTACTGAAAAAGCATGATTGAGAGAAGGATATAAGTAGGAAGGTGCATCTGTGAGTGACTGGTGGCAGAGTGTTGGTCTGGTGTGCAAAGAATATATAAATGGCTGACGGAAAAGTCATTTATAAATGCATGCCTGCTAAGTAAAAAAGAATAACAACAAAAAGGCAACCAGAAAACATAATTTATTTTTGCCAGCCCCCCACAGCACACGCTGAGTCATCCTGCATGCTACGAGCACTTTGGTGTAATTTTTGACCAACACATGAACCGTCACCAGCGCATTAATGTTGACTCACCTCTATTTTTCCACCTGAAGACTTAAAGCCTGCTGTCGCTTATCAAGATCCTCTGATTACGCTGCACACACACTCAGAGCAGGACTAATTTTCTACTCTCATGCCAAAACAGGTCAGCGCTGGCACACCTTCTCGTTTGAAATGCCCCAGCAAGAAATGGCAGCCAGACAGATCCGGCTGTGGGGCTCGTATCACTCCCAGATTGGCTCCTCAGCGCTGGTGAAAATGATCTGAAGTATGTGCAAAGTATTTCCTGAACAAGCCCCAACTTATTCAGGCAAATTAATTTCTTTTCATTTTAGTATCGACAGCATCAAGTTATTTGATCGGCATGGGCAGCGCTTTAGGAACAACATTTGGAATGAAATCTGAGACTGATTGTACTGAGTGTTTATTTAAAGGCTAATTTATTTGCAAATGATTGTTTATGTACTTAAGTTGTTGCTCAATACTTCTTCACTGCAGCAGGTTAATGTGATAGCTGGTCCTATTTCAATGAAACAACTGACAACGCCCGTGGAAACAGATGGAGGCAGCCAGTCCAATTTGGTGAAGAAAAATTCATGCTGCATCTTTCACATGAGAAAGCTTTTTAGTGTGAATTAATGACAGCTTAGTTTAAAAAATATTGTTCTGAAAATAGTGCCAATCTAAATTAATCACAATAAATAAGAATGAACTATATATGTTTGAATATAAAGGAAACACTTTTGTTTTCTTTCTGTACAACATTAAGACAGGAAAATAATTAACAACATCATTTCTGTGTTTAAGAACTGACTCAGGATTTACTTTACTTAGCTAAGCCATTAGAAGCAGGAGGAAACAGCAGGCCCCGTCCTGTGAAAAGTAAAAAAAAAAAAAAGATGCCTTTCAGCACCTTAAACACTCACTAATGAACACATTATGTCCCATTTGTTTAACTTGGACACACATTTACAATAAACCAGAATGAAGCCGCAGGTTTTCATCTTTCTGATATCGTTTGTGACACACTGTTCAGCCAGAAGAAACTGTGGTAGCTCATCTAAATGACTTTATTGTAAATTTCTCATTTAAAACACTCATCAAAAATAAACACCGGATCCTGTGAAAAACTAAAAAATCCCACACTGCTCAGCGCAACTGAGAAGCCATAACTGAGTCAGCAGTGACCAACAAAAGCTCTGATTCTTTAGCTGAACTGCAGGCTGTGTTTACGGAGAGCAGAGAGGAGACTGAGGAAAATAAATAAATCAAAAAATAAATGCGGGCTGCAGGGTGGCGCAGTTGGTAGCACTGTTGCCTCGCAGCAAGAAGGTTGTCGGTTCGCGTCCCGGTGGGGGCACCGGAATCTTTCTGCGTGGAGTTTACATGTTCTCCCCGTGTAGCGTGGGTTCTCTCCGGGTTCTCCAGCTTCTTCCCACAGTCCAAAAACATGTTGAGGTTAATTGGTGATTCTAAATTGTCTGTAGGTGTGAATGTGAGTGTGCTTGGTTGTCTGTCTCTAAGTGTAGCCCTGTGATAGACTGGTGACCCGTCCAGGTGAACCTGCCTTCACCCTGAGTCAGCTGGGATAGACTCCAGGCCCCCTGCGACCCTAGTGAGGATTAAGCGGTGTATAGATAATGGATGGATGGAAAAAATAAATGCAGCATGGCTCAAAAACAGCATACAGAGGAGCAAGTTGTTGGAAGAGGCATTCAGCACAGTGAACCATCTCTCTAGAGTTGATGTGTACAGTAGAGTGAAAAAGATTGTCGAGGTTGTAAACATGCAGACAGGCCTGGTCAAATAGCCCATCTATAGCATGGAGAGCCACTTTTTCTTTCCTGTATTGGTAGCAGCTGTGGGCACTTGAAAAAATGTTGTATTTGTTAATTCCTGTTTTTTTATTTTTTTGTATTTCATTTAATAAAAAATCAAAAGCAATTTCACTTGACTTCTAGAAATAGTTGTGCTGTTCCCATAGGGGTGCAGGACTTTATACTGCTCACAGTGCAGAAAAAAAGCACCCAGAAACTGCTTGGGGTTTGGAAATCAATAAGTTTCACACATGCTGGTAGGTGCTTTTTATCCGTTTCTCAGTGCAAGACCAGCTGTTTCCACCTGCTTCCAGTCGTTATGCTCAGATGTGCTAACGAAGCCTTGACTCCACCTCTGGATGTAACTTTTTTATTTCACTTTAAACAAATAAAAATATTGACCTCTTCACATAAATTAGACATTTTTGTAATCAGTAGCTTTGTTTTTTTTTTGTTTTTTTTTACTTTTAGTGAACATCCCAAACTTGGAAGTCTAAGTTAAACTCTATCAACTTGTTAAAAGCGGAGGTAGTTTATGCTTCATGTATGCCCTTTATTTGGTGAATGTTTCCCTGATGTTTGGTCATTGGCCTTATTGTTCTTCTTTTAAAGCTTTCAGCTGAAGTTCACATTAAACAGCATCAACAGTGAAACTAGATGCATGGGGGAGATTTGTGGTTGGAGAAGCTGTGAACCTCCCTGGGGGTTTGTTAGCCTCTTATAAAGCACGTCGGTCGTCCCGCCACTTTGATTTTCTTCCGTTTAGCTATATGGTGTTGACCTGATAGGCGGTATGCACTGGGAGAAATGTAAGTACAAGACGCCGCTGCGGCTCTATTTACATGTTATCGTGTACAATATGACTTTTGATCGATCTGATTGATTACATCTGCTCTGAGTTGTGCGAAGAAGACGAGCAGAAATGTTCAAAATTTGCAAAAATGTGCTTCACGTAATCTTTCGTACAGTTTGTGCGCCGTGTGTTTTTATTGTAGAGGAGGTGGACACAATAAAATAAACACAATATAAGGTTTAATCCAGTACAATAGACATGCAATAGCCTGTAACCTCTTTGATATTGCTGTACTGTACTTTGCATAAAATGATCAGGCTGAATACGACAGGACTTCTCTATAAACTGTTTCTGAATTAAATATCTGTCAAGGTGTTGTGGCCCAGCTGTAGTTCATAATTCAGCTGTTTCTAAATCAGAAATGCCGAACCCCAGCCACCACCTGATTCTCCATTTACACCCTCGTGTTGTTTAGAACAGTAGCTCAAAGTTTGAATGTGGGGGTATTTGGAATCCTGCTAACAGATGGAGACAGCAGTGTAAGGCTTTATTTCCTGTTGTGAACTATGAGAGAACCGGTACTGAAGCGGCTGCGTCCCGCTGTGTCTGAAAGAGGAAGGTTGTCATTTGAACGCTGACTGCGTGTTGCTATTGGGCTGTAATCTTGATATGCAAAATAGCAGCAGACCCCCACCACAGTAAAACACGGCACAGCTGTGCAGCTTCCTCTTTTCGTTGATTGAATCGCTGTGCGTGTGCCACGGCGAGTGTTTGTCCGTGTGTGCTCATGTGTGGTTGCATGAAAGACAACAACACTGTCTGTTCAACTGTGTGCAAAGATTCATGCTGTAGCGCTAAACGAAGCACTTGTGTAAAGTTAAAACGATGTAAAACTCTGTTTGTACGGCACCTTTTAAAACAAAGTCTTGTGCAGAGTAAACAGAACAAATACATACATGAGCCACCATTAAACATACAGACAAATTACAGCCCTGTTACAGGAAAAGCAATGAGATAAAAATGGGGTTTGTGAGAAGTCATTTAAAGCCGTTCACAGCTGTTCAAACAGAGGAGGCTGCTACAGAGGGGACGATCCCCCTGAGCCCTACTGAGATATAAACTATAGACGCTGGATGATCTGATCTGAGGGGCCTAAAAGTGGAATAGAAAATCTGAAATGTATAAAGGGAAAACCCATATATGGTCCTGCATGTGCTAAACAGTATTTCAATTCTGCAGTTTGCAGGGAGCCGATAAAGGGATGTGAGGATGAGTGTGATGTAATGTGGGATCTGCTGTGGTCGTGGAGAGCAGCTTGATTACAGGGTGTCGCACAAGTTTCAACTTGGCCGTTTGGCTGCAAAACTGTCTCCTAAAACTGATGTTACTACACAACTAAACTACATTCTCATCTATAAGAAACTTTCCCCCCTCGCCCTGAAAGTGTGACGACGACTTAGAACGAGGGGCTTACAGTTGGAAAGAACTGCAAAGTCTGAGGTTGGTGGAGGCCAAAGTCTTTAACAGGAGACTGAGCTGCATGTCTGAGACGGAGGAGAAGAGCGCTGCAGAGGTCAAGACATCAATGAATGTATTAGTACTTGTAGATCTCTGGCTGAAAGCATTAGTGTGATTTTTGCAGTGCTCCTGAGTTGCGGTTCATTTGTGTTCATTGTAGCCTCGGTTCACTCGTAGATCGACAGAAGTGATGGACATACCACTTTTATATCTAAATATTTTCATCATTATGAAACAATCTTTGCAAAAAACAAAAACAAAACAGCCTTTTCACTGAACCTGCCAGTTTAAATGATGCTCCATGTGTGACTGAGGGCACCGTGTTCACGCTGCGCTGCTGTAAATCATTTGCCGTGATAAGCGCCACACCCCTGGACACTCCTGTCGTGCTTTGCCAGGAATCCTTACAAGCCTTTTGTTGCAGTTGGCAGTGTGACAACTTCGCTTCCCGACCTCCTGCAACACTAGAGCCGCTCTCACATCCCCACAGAGCGACACTGCAGCACCTTTTGTGCAGTTATTCAGTTTGGGGTCTGAACCATAATGTGTGACACGCTGGTCCAGCTGGTCAGGAATCAGCCAGTGGACAGAGTTTGTGTCTTAAAAAGAGACTACAAACTACAATTCTGTAATATGGCAAAATCTGGAATGATAATCTTTTAATTCACATCAATTTAGGAATATATTAAATAACCTGGAAGTTGTTCTCGTTCAAGATGCTTTTTGTTAAAATAAAGGAAAAACAGGAGACAACAGAAACTTTTCTGTGAACTCGCAGAATTTTAGTCAAATCTAAAATATACTAAATGGAGTGAACAAGAAAAGGACTACCACAGAAAAGTGTGTAGCCTCAAATACGCAGACCTCAAGTTCAAGTCAAGCTTAAAAAAATAGACTGGTATCTTTTTAACTGGAGCTAAAAATCGCAAGGTGGAGCAGTGGTTAGCAACGTTGCCTCGTAGC